TTGAAGCAATTATTGCAAATGAAACTTGGAAATTTAAAAGAATGCAGAGGATATACTTGTTATTGTACTTCAGTTGGTACTACAGATCTGCAGAGAAATGGTTCCCCTTTCCCTCTTCATACAAGTGCAGAATATGTGGGAAGGCAGACAGCACAATAGACCAAGTGACAGTGGAGTACTGCTTGAAACATTCTGTGGCCACTGGTGGGCCCTATCCTTTATCAAACATCTTTCACAGTAACTATGAATTGGTGCAAAATGAAAATCAGTTGCTGCTCTTGTACAGTATCTTCATGTAGTTCATTTGCTGCATGAAGAGCAAGGAACAGCACATTGCTGAAGTAAAACTGGGGCTAGGACGAGTTTCTAGCCCACCACAGGTATCTGTACAGGTGTTTTAAATAGCCCCAGTTTTTCAGTGTCTTATATGTTTAAAAAAAAAAAAAAAACAACCATCACAAAACCCCCAACTGTGTTCCCCCATCCTATTTCAAGGAGCTAATAATGGCTAAGTTCAGTAGAAGATACAATCTTTTTGCTGAACTGGCAACAGCTTTTAAACACTCCTTTGATCTTCCCAGGGTTGTGTATGAATGTGGGGATGAGATCTGCAGAGGAATGACTTTATCGGAAGGCATCTTAAGCCAGCATTGAGCCAGTTTGAAATACCGTACACACCCTTGCCACAGACTAAAGTCTTTCTTTTTGAATCAAGACTTGAAGAGTTATCCTTGCGGGGGGCAGGAAAGCAAGCTGTCTACTACAGTGGAAGCTCAGAGAAATAAAATGATAGCTTTATGGTGTTTAAAAGGTCTAAATGAGAGCCCAAGAAAGTTGTGTTCTGATTGTCTTTATGCTAACCTCCCTACCCCCAATAAAGAAGAGACTAAGTTTCTAACAAAGAGTTTGCTGTGTAGAGATATGGAGATGTATTGAGCCAAGACAGGCTTAATTTGAAGCCTCTTCCTGAGTGGCTGTTTCATCTCTGTTGAACGTTTCTGTATAGAAGCACTGTGATGTTGATAGCTATTGAGGAAAGAGGAGACAGCTTCTCATTTACTGACAAAAGCAAAAGCTTATCAAACCATCAGCACATAAAAATTTCAAATCGGTAACTGGAAAGAAAACTACTTCTTCCTTAGTCTTTGTCATTTCAACTGTATATTCACACTAACATTCTTCCACTGCTGATTGTGGTTCTGATGTGCTTCTCAGTTTCCTGTTGGCCTTGCCATGTTCCGTACATTCCCTCTCACTAGAAATACTTGCATAGGCTCTACTTTTATGCTGTATGTCTTAATGCACCTGTCATAACTGTCGTCTTATATAATTTGTGTACATAAGTGTGTCTTGAACAAGTTGAAATTCTGATGGTGACGAGTGTGTATTTCAGATGTTCGGCTCATGCATTTGCAATGCCCATTCATAAAGTTTTTGTTTGGACTAATCTTTGTATGTGTTCAAATGATTTTCCTGTTGTTTGAAACCAAGTTATAAAATCTGAGGAAATGTGAATTCTAAAAGTTGGTTAGATGTTTTATTATGTTTTGTGTCTGAGATTCAGTGACTTATTGACTGCATGCAATGTGGTTCTGATAGATACCTATATGTTGAGTTAGAATTCACTGCACAGGAGACCAAAATGAGGTATTATTTCTGGTCTGATATAATTTCACCCTTTTTCTTACACCCTTTTTCTGCTTACACCCTTTTTCTTCAGTTAGGAAAGGGATGAAAGTGGTAGAAGAAATTACAGTTGGTCTGTTATAAAAGGATAGCAGGCGCATGGTAGTGTGACTTATAACTCTGTTTATTTCATTTTATAAAAATCCGGACCAGCGTGACTGCATCAGATGGAGCACCTGGTTGATGTAGCGTGCCTGTATCAGCACCTTTTCCCAGTGCTTGTTTTATGACTCAGTTCCAGGTCTTGGTAGGGTTTCTGCTGTCCAGAGAATTGGTCCTGTGAGTTTTTGTGGACTCCAAGTGGTTCTCTAGACCTTTTTTTGTTGTGTAGGTTTAGTAGAATGAAGACTTGGGTCTCATGACTCAAGAAGGCTTTTTGGGCTTTCCTGGCAAACTACTTCTTCAGTTTGTTCTACAGGAGAGAAGCATTTGGCTTTAGAGGTTAAATTAGGAGTAGTATTGAGCCTGATTCAAATGACAGGAGAATCTTTTGTGACATATAGCCATGCATGTTTTTTAGCAAGATGTAGCTTTTTGCTCTATCCTGCTAAAATCATTGATTTTTGCTTTTTCTTTATAGAAACTGTAGAATCACTTGACAGCAGTGATTTCTGACACCTGGTATGAGAGATGGACCCTGATTTTATAGTATTATTTTGAAAGCATATAACTGTGAAACCTGAAGTGTTCTCACTTAAAAACAATGCTAGGCCTGTGTCTAGGCAAGCGTAAGTATTCCAGAACTTACCTACATGAGTGCAGTGTAGAACAGTTTCTGATAATTTTTTGAATTAGTGGCTTACTCTAGGTTTAAATAATTTGTTTTACCTTATTTTAACTTAAGTTCTTAAACTCTGTTTATCCCTTACTATAGTTTAAAATATGTACAGGCTTCAGGGGCTAGTGGAAACTTACTTCTGTCCAGGCTGGCCTTTTTAAATTCATTTGGGCTTTGTGCTTTGCCAGTGTAAAACAGAAAAGTGTGATCTTTACTGTTTAGTTACAGTTCCTAGAAACAAATGACATAAAGCAAGAGTTACTCCTATTTTCAAGGTAAGCAGTAAACTCCACTGTTCTGAGTGAAAAGAAGTTGTGCAATTTCAGCGTGCCTTTAATGGATAATGTGTTTAATCAGTCCTGCAGCATACACTATATTGCCTTGAAGAAAAGAGAGTAAGGGCCTGTGGAATGCATAGTTTGGGGAGTTGTTCTAATTATTTTACTAACCCTAGGATGTATCATGGGTGGAACATGCCTGTTATGAAAAACAGAGCTATGTCAGTAATAGAGGAATTCATATTACTCTAACTTAGTTATCAGCAAAATGTTAGTAGAAATATACACACTAAAATTGCACAAGGAAGTAAAACGATTACTACCTCTGTAATTCTCATAATCTGGACCAAGAAGAGGTTAGTCAAACTAAAATGTTGTAAATTGACTCTCTTTACCATGGTTGGGTTTATAGCAGCATGCAGATGTAATCGATACGATCATTATTTCTGTTTTCTTCAGTTGTAAGTTTATAACGGCAGCAGGGATTAACTATAGCTTTTTGCTGAGAATTTTTGCACAACAACCGAAAACTGATGCTGTGGTCAGATTTTTAGAGAGGCAAAAATGTTTTTGGCAAGAAGACATTCTGGTTTTCATCAGAAATAAGAACAGAGAAAACAGCTGATTTGTATTAGATAAATAACTATCCCTAGATGTTGTTTCTTCAGGCAGTCAGTGATTGCACAGCATCTTTATCCAGATTTGAACTTCCATGAACTTACTGTAGGTGACCTATTGAAATAGGAAGATGGGAGGGAAAGAAGAGACTGATGTCCTGCTTCAGACCTATATCGGTGTGGCCAGGTTCTCTTTTTTTGACAAATTATGTAGCAGTTTACCAAAAATACTTTTAAAAGCACAGAGTCTATTTTTGCATGGAATTTATTACAGCTCTTGGCCAAGAAGTATTCTTTGGAGTATGTGAAGTATTTGAGACGTACAGGCTTGTTAGTGGGAAGATGAGTCACAGGTCATTTTGTGAATGTAAAAATCATTGCAGGCAGCTCTTTCTCTAAAGCATAAGTAGAGAAATTAGTGGACAGTGGCCCAGCAAATATTAAATATGTTTTTTGCTTGTTATTGTAAGACTGGGGACAGACTTTTTAGCAGGGCCTGTTGCAATAGGGCAAGGGGTAATGGTTTTAAACTAAAAGAGGGTAGATTGAGACTAGATGGCAGGGGGCTTGGACTAAGTGACCTTTAAAGCTCCCTTCCAACCCAAACTATTATATCATTCTAGATATGAGGAAGAAATTTTTCATGGTGAGGGTGGTGAGACACTGGCACAAGTTGCCCAGAGAGGTGGGAGATGCCCCATCCCTGGAAATGTTCCAGCTCAGGTTGGATGGGTGTCTGAGCAACCTGCTGTAGTTGAAGATGTCCCTGCTCACTGCAGGGGGGTTGGACTAGGTGGCCTTTCAAGGTCCCTTCCAACCCAAACTGTTCTGCAGTTGTATGATTTTTCACTATGTTTGCTTTCAAAAGGTATTATAGAGGCTAAATACTTTCAACCTTTACAAAGGAACTTTATGACACTGAGTACTGCAAGTTAGTCTTTTTAAGGATGTTAGCCTTAAATGTTAGTAATGATTCTGAGCCTGAAAATTACCTGCTTATGTATTCTTGTCCATTTAAGAATAGTAATGTGTCTTTTCTTACCCTTGTTGTCTTCTAAGGTTTGATTATTCCACTGCGCTGTCAAAAATTATCTCAGAAATCGGTAGATAAACAGTCAGCTATCTCAGCTTTGGATGGTTGGTTAGGGAGATGATGCTTCATGTCATCTATTCCAGGAAGTGTAGTTTTGGGGTGGATAGATGACTCTTATCCTGACTTCTACCTCCTGCATGGTGCATTTCTGGGGTGGAATTGATATAAAGTATGATTGAACAGCTTTGATCAGTGCTTGATTTACATATTTGTATCATAAAGACAGTCTTCGTGGACTAAAAAAAGAATATGATTTACAAAGACGGTCTTAACTCTTCCAGTGGACTGCAGAGAGAATGTGATGCACTTGGTACTATTGTTTTTAAGTTCCTCCGCATATCCTCAACATAAGAGCCCTTGTGTGACTAGTAGTCTGTGGTGAAATTAATATTCAAATGGGATTTAAAATTTCAGTCTGCAGAAAGAAGTCCAAATTTATCATCGTTTGTTTTCGTATGCATCTGTTTCAGTGGTGTGCGCTGTATAGTTTGTATGATGCACATGCAGATTAACATACAAAAGTAACACGGCCTATATCATCAATACAGGTTGCTGCCTTGAAGTATATACCATCAGTTCTTCATGATGTTGAAACAGTCTTTGATGCCAAGTTACTGAGGTGAGCTGCTTTTGCACATTTAGTAGCTGTATCACGTGGCGTATACAATGTAACGCTGCTGTAAACAATAAATTATTATTGATCAGCCTAAGTCAACAAAGCTATGCCAGTTTGTACTGATGAAGACAGTCATGGAACTCTGGGTATGTTTTTAACAGGGAGTTCTCATCTGATGTACATAATGACAGAATTTATTATGGAGGCCCAATACTTAAGCAGTAACTTGGTGAATAAAGGGAACAAGTGAAACAGTCTATCTTTTTTTTTTCCCTTTTCTTCTCTCCCCACTCCCTGCCTCAAATAAGCCCTATTCCAGAAAAAAGAAATCTGGTTTTAACAGTTTGAAATAAGTATCTACCTTTACTTGTCAGGCAAAGTTAAATTGCCTCCACTACACACAAAAATATCTTTATTCCATTGAAAACAATGGGAAGTAATAAACATTTGAAAATACGGCTGAAATGTAGTTCATCCTCATCTTGTTTCTCTTGAATGTTTTCTTTCTAACCTGCTACTGATCTCTTGTCAGTGCTTGTGATACGGTAAATAAATCTAAGTCTTAAAAAGAAAGAAATGTTTAAAAATAGATCATTTTTTGCTCTTTCTGTCTTACTTTACTAACACGTGATTGATTAATCTGTATGATATTTACAACACTTTTCCTTCACATGCAGCCAACTATTATATGAATTTTACACTTGCATTCCACCAGTGAAACTACAGAAGCAGAAAGTGCAGTCCATGAAGGAAATAGTGCACAGCAACCTTTTCAAAAAACAAGGTAAATACAAAACGCCTTTAAGGATTAAAATAAATAGGTGTGAAAATGTTAACTGGCTTACATTTTGTGCTATTTATGTTTTAAATTAAGTAAAACTAATACTGAGAGAGTGTGGATGCCAGAAGTCTGACTTCTGGAGAGGATTCACCTCTTTCTACAAGATGGCTATTGTGCAAAGCGTGGTTGCTAGTCTGGAACAAGGAACAGGTGGGTCTCAGAGGAACAGTTTTGTGTGTTTTTTGTATTATATAATGGCTAGGGAGATGGACCCATATATATCCTTCCAACCCATATATATCCTTCCAACCCATTTGTAAGCTCTATAGTGAAATAGGAACATGAAGTGAAACCTTGTGAACACAACTTGTGCTATGTAAGGCCACTGCTTGGGCAGAGAAGAAATGCCTGATTGTGCTGTAGTATAGCTCAGCTGCAATGCAGCATTTCTATTACTAGGTATTACGATGTTTCTTAATCTTTATCAGATCTTAGTGTCTTTCTCCGCTCTCAGGAGTGATCAATGGTACTGACATGTCTTTATCAGCCTTGTGCTTAGTTTTCCTTCATATTATCACAGAAAGGGAATTTTTGCTGAAGGAGTCCTAGCAGAGAAGCCCAGTTTTACATGGTTGACTTGGTCTTCGCTGTTAAGTGTTCTGTCTCCTCTCTTGTGGACCAGATGGCTTGCTTCCTTCTCAGCAACTTAATACAGTGTAGATGATCTCCAGAACTTTGAAAGGCTCATGAGCTACTCAAATGCATGCATATTTCAGTTTTTGACAATTCTCATGATAATGATTCTCATGTCATGCTCATGTCATCCCTCTGTGTTGCAAGGAGAGTGATGTACTTCTAACTATCTAGGACAGATTAAAATGTGGTTTTATTTTAAGACTTGTGTTGCATTCTATTGAGATGGAAGTGTATATTTTAAACCATAACAATAATTAGCTGTGTGTCTTGTGTTTTGAGACCATTACAGACTTCCTGGACAAAAGCAAGAAAATAACATAGTTGCTTTTACTGTTTATATTAAATTAGATAGTATTTTAACATACTTATGTTAATGATTTCATGGTCATGAGCTGTGTGTTTTTTTGTTTTTTGTTTTTTTTTTAAACTATGTGTAAGACTCAAGGTTGCTTGAATCAGTGGAACTTAAGTAGCTATGGTTTGGGTGATCCAAACTATTAAAAGCAGATCCAACTAGTTGATTTTCAAACAGATCTCATTCTGTATTTGCAATTTTTTCCAGTAGTTTATTGTATTTCTGTTTTACAAGTACAGTCTGATATCAATCATTGCATTACCAGTTGCGTTTGCTGCTGTTGCTGCTTCCAAGATCAGAAGTGCCCATCTTATTTTTATCTCTGCTTCGTGTGGCAAGTAGCACTTAGACCAGAAGAAAAAACATCCTCTCACAAAACTGAAAGACTTTTGGGTTAAAATAATGCACTCTCTTGAACTATTGGTCTTATTAGAATTGTCAGTTATCCTGACTGTGTTTAATACTGAGAAATTAAGTGCAAGCTCTAATCTTTTTTTTTTGTGCTAGTAATGATCTTCTGTGCAACCTATAGACACATAAGAGACCAGCCTAAACTCTGAGGTTATGAAAGTTTCAGTTCATCTCTAGTAAACTTACTGCTTTGCTATCTGCAAGAACAGTGAGACACCTAAAGCAGCCGGGTAATTCTAGTTCTAATAATATTAGGGATATTGTTTTGATCTGCCTTTTGCTAACTTTTATGCATTTAATTTAGTTTGATATGTTAGTCTCCAGTCGATTACTACTTTTCTGGAAGAAAAACTGAACCTTTTATTGTTCTGTCTCAGAATTTTAGAAGGCAGAGAATAAGAGCAGGCACTGCTGTGGAATAACAGTGGTTTGATAATTTTTCTTTAAAGGAACTTGTCTCATTGAAATACATTTGTTACTGGTTTGTATATCAGGAGGGTTGGTCAGGGCAATAGATCCCATGCGGTATAATGAAGAATAAAGCCCTAATAAACATTCAGAAGGAAAACAGTTGAGCATACAGTAACCTGTGTGCTTCACAGTTCTGTTGACTTGCATCTTACTCCTTTTAGTGTACATCCCACTGCTTCTTTCTTCCCTATCCATGTATGCTCCAGAGGACAGGAGAGTGGGGTCTTGGATTCCAAAGAAGCTCCCATTATAGCCTGCTTAGTGTGGTTCTCGTTTCATGTGTTTAACAGGCCTTTGCTTTAGATACGGTCTGGTAACGCAAAATGTTCTGTAACACTTTTACTGCTTGCAAATATATAATACTAATAATAGATTGCTTAGTTGCTTGTAAATGGAACTTGTCTGATGTCTTGAAATGCAGAGCTGGTATATCGTGGAAAATGTCTACCTCAGAGTATGTTGTGAATTACAAAAAGGGTCTGTGTTTTCTGTTTCTATATTTTTCAAGTAATAATGAATAAGAAATTTTACAAAGAGGATTTCTAATTCTGGGGAGCTTTTATAAAAACAGTAAGTGGTGTTTTTTGTATACTCTGACCAGATAATCCATCTTAATTTTTCCCAGACAGGTAGGTAATGGATTCATTTAGTCTTTAAATTTATACATTAAAAAATGAAATAATGTCTAAAAAACCTCCCTGTGCTATTTTTTGCTAGTATCAAACACCTGACAGCAAAACCGGGCAGCTGAGACCATAAAGGTAGCATGTAATACTTAAACCGTATGCCAGCCTAGCTGCTTTACACGGGATCCTGTATGTCTGAATAGGTCATTGTGATCCAAACTTGCACTAGGAATTGACAGTTAAAGTGTATGCATTTGATAATATGTACAAATTAACAGCTTGTTTGTATGTTTATGGGGATTACGTATGAAAGATCTGCTTTAAAATGTTTTTACTGTAATAATTGGCATATAATTATATAATAATAATTAGATGCTGCTGTTTTCAGAGGAGCCTGGTGAAATAGATTGATCTCTTTTTAACTATTAGTTTAAAATAAGAGACAGTCCTCTGAAGAAGCAGTTGCCCAAAACAGGAAAATCAAACAGATGTCATTTAAAAATAAAGCTAAAATATGCCCAGTTTGTTTTAACTTTATCATGACATATTGTTTTAGTAATATCATGACTTATGTCATGATATTATATACCAGAGAATATACATTTCAAGATTTTTGTGCTTCAATAAGTTGATCGAGTGACAGAATAAAATGCTTCTTGCTGTTGTTGTCAGGTTCAGGTATGTATAGAAACTACAATTTTCTGTTGTTGTCATCGCCGTTGCCGCCACCGCCGCCGTTGTTGTGGTGGTCGTGGTGGTGATCGTGGTGGTGGTTGCCGCTGCCTTGGGGACCGGAGAGAGGGCCAGGCATACCTTTTCACCCTCCTCAGTGCAGCCCGGTCAGGTTCAAGTAGACCCTTGCAAGTATATTTTCCTTTTTGTGAGACCATTCCATGACGAAGTTGTCATTCGTCTGCCTGGTGTTGGTTTTACTCAGGTACCTGTCTCAAGTATGGTGTTACTCAAGTTCGGGCATTTAGTCCTAGAGTTTCTCTCTTGGATGATGATATAACTTTCCTTTCACTCAACCCACTCCTACATCACTAAGGGCAGAAAATCAACCTTGGGATGATCACAGGGTGGTTTATAGCTAATTGGTATTTTTGATTATTTTGATGATTATTGGTATATTGATTATTTGCATTTATGTTTCATTTTCATATTGCTTGGATTTAAGCATCAAGTTGTAATTACTGCAGGGGACAGTCCACAACATGTTTAAGTGCAGGCACTGAAGGAAGTGAAAAAACCAATACACAATTAAATATCTCCTGATATTATAGTGGTGTGAAAAAGTTTCTGTACTGTGCTATTGTAATTTTGTGTACAGTAAATAGCAAACAAGTCCTTGTTCTTGTACACTGCCATGCTTTAAAATGGAAAATTCTGAAGATGCTTTTTTGCTCTGCATTAAATACAATTGATTCTAAAATGAATTGGGTAGAGAAGCAGCTGTGTTGGTAGGGTGTAGACAATGCCTGATTCATTACTCCAAGCAATGAGCTGGAAGGTTTACAACAATGAAAGCATATGTAGTGTATCACAAAATAGGATGGAGCATGATAATTAAGGTAAGATTGACAACAGTTTCATTAACTAATGTTCACATTTATCTAGAACAGGTAGTATTTTTTTCTGCCATGAATATGCTACACTGCTAATTACAGTGTCGTCTGTTAATTTGCGTGTGTTTCAAATTATCCATTTTCCTTCAGGCTTTAATATTTAGTCTCTTTCCATGTAGTTCATTATAGTTCCAGTTTGATTCATTTACTTCCATCCCCAGTGGTATTGTCTTCACAATTTAATTTTATTTTAGATACTAGTATTTCTTTTCCTTTACCCATTGATGTTCACAGCATTTTCTAAGGAAGTAGACTTGTTAAAATGTGAAAATGTGTCTTTAAAAAAAAAAAAAGTCAGTGAAATTTGTTTTTATTTAATAAATTAGACAACCTGAAGTTGGAAGCCTTGTGATAAGGCTGAATTTGTTGGTATGTATTCCCAAGCATTCAAAAGTTTTCACTGTAGACTGTCCTAGAATAGAATGCTTTCGTCAGATAGGACGCATGGTCCTGTTGACTGCTACTGTAATTGATCTTCAGAAGCCCCACAGCGCTACAGCACTTTTACAAGCCTTTAAATTAGATTGACAGATTTTTTTTTT